GTTGCTGACCTACGCGACGAGACTGGTGTCCGCGCTGGCGTCAGCAAGGTTGTCCAGGGCGTTCACGATCGCGTTCTCTCCGTCACCGGTAGCCTCGCTGGAATTTCCAAGGCCTACGGCGTGGTCGCAAAAGGTCTTCTCGATGGCGCGCCCGCGATGGGCATGGGAGGTGTTATTCGTACCGATGGCACGCACCGTAAGTGCTTCCTACTGGACCACTGGCTTGTTGGAGACGCAGTCTTTGGTCTACTTGTCTAGGTTGAGCTAACTTTCGTAGCCATCCGCCTCTTGATCTCACACAACCAGATGGGCACTATCATTGGCCGTCAAGGTTTGAAGATCAAGCAGATCCAAGACGCGTCTGGTGTCCGCATGGTCGCTCAGAAGGAGATGCTGCCGCAGTCGACTGAGCGCATCGTGGAGGTCCAAGGCTCGCCCGGTGGCATTGAAAAGGCCATCTGGGAAATTGGCAAGTGCCTCATCGACGACCATGAGCGTGGTTATGGTACCGTTCTTTACAATCCTGCGGTGCGTGTTCAGCCTGGTGCTGGTGCTGGTCCATTGTCGAACGGCGGCCCCGCTGGCGGCCTGGGTGGCGGTCGTTCATACAATCGCACCGGTCACGGTGCCGACTTTAGCGACGCTCCGCCTGCCTTTACACGTCGCTCTGGCTCTGATGCTGCCAGCCGCCCCCCTCCTCCTACCCATACCGAGGATGGCGAAGAGATGCAGACCCAAAACATTAGCATTCCCTCGGACATGGTCGGTTGTATCATTGGTCGCGGCGGCACCAAGATCAGTGAGATCCGCAAAACCTCTGGTGCCCGCATCTCCATCGCCAAGGCTCCGCACGACGACACTGGCGAGCGCATGTTCACCATCACTGGTAGCGCCAGTGCCAACGAAAAAGCGCTCTATCTGTTGTATGAGAACTTGGAAGCGGAGAAGATGCGCCGCAGTCAAGCCCAGGAATAGGAGGCGTTGCCTACTTGTCCAGCATATCTGTTCTTAGCCTGACCATTCGGTTGTCATGCAGTGTATTGTTGGCGCAATGTAGCACTTCCGAATCTCGAAGGTTCTTGGAACGCTGGAGCATTTTCGCCCTCAGTGTCGTTGCTGGCCCTTCACATGCATTGCTTTCACGTTTGTCGGCGTCCAACATGGAGTCTTCGAAACTGGCGTCTTGAAGACTGGCGGACTTCAATTTCCTTTGGTTGCAGATGAATGCCGTGGCTCCTTGGGCTTATTTCCTATTTTCTTGCTATGGCTCGTCGAGATTTGAGCGCTAACTGAGCGCCTCACGAACGTCATGATTGATGGTCTTTGATATCCGGATAGCCCATCTGCCTGGGGCGGACTGCGCCTTTGCAGACAAGCATCCACATCCTGGGGGATATTGGGAAAGAAGAAACGGTATGAGAAGATGGAAGCTTTTTCATTATCTCATACGCAAACTCTACGACGAGCTCCATGTACCCTCCTCTCTCTAATCGGCCTCTCCGCGCACCCCTCCAACTAGTCCCTTACCTCTAAACACTCTCTAGACCCCTTCCTCTTCGTCCTACAACTCCTCCAAAATCATAAGTAGCCATATAAAACGTACTCTAGTATAGAGTAGCACAATACACTGCATAACATGGTAGTCACAGTCTGTACTGAGCAGCCCGGTTGGGATATGGTTTGCAGTGATGCCTGAAGCCGTGAAGAGGGTGACTGGACTGGGTTCTCGCACAATCTTCCCAAGTAAAATAGAAACTGCAGGCCATGGCTCCTTTCTCATCGTCACTACTGGTACGCCATACTCAAGCCGCTCAGACCTGCACCCTTACATTCTGTAGCGCTGTATGGAACGTCTGTGGATGAGGGGTTACTGATACCATCCGTCTTAAGGAGAGTTTGCAGGATCCTGGACAAGGCGCCATCGGCTTTTCGCTTAGATGTTATTCAAGCACTAGAGACTAGAGGTACAGTACCTATGCTTGCCACAGGACCAACCCGGATCAGGAGACTTCATAGTAAGCGGAGCTTCCTGACAGCCGGTGGATTTCCGAGGCTGGGGTGGTCCGCTAGATTAGCTGTCTTTTCGGCGCTATACCCAATCGAGACAGATGCAGCCTTGAATAAAGATGGTCCTGACCGCACATTCCCTCTTTTTCCAATTCTGTTCCCTGACGACTTCTTCCCTCTTCAAATCATCAATACCTTCTAGCATTCACTTGTCTTTTGAAATCCTAAAGTTCACTCGTAACTTCATCACCAGTCTACCAAGAGGAATCCACAGCAACAACACTATCATGGCGCCTGTTCAGACGCAAACTATGACACCCCACCAATTCAGCAACCCCGTCGCTGTCATACGGGTATCCGGAAGAGTTTCAAACCCAGCAGGACGGGCAACACGGGCAAGCAAGCCTTTGCTGTCTTACAACCCCCAAGTCCCTACCGCACATCCAGACATCAACATGACACTTCTTCGCAACAAACTCCTCCTCACATGCCGCCGATACATTCCTTCAGAGCTTCTTCATGAAGCACTAGCCGATGGCATCTACTCACGCGCCGAACGATGGATCACGCCCTCGAGCCAGCAGGCGTCCAAACTCGGCAAGCGGAAACGCTACTACGTGCTTGAAACTTCCGACTTTACCTTCAAATCGATGGGCAGTGCATGGGAAGCTCGGATCGACAGTCGAGGCAGCCAGCCGATTGACGCAGGTAATGGCGTGATTATTTTCGTCAAGGAGCGCAGTGAGTGGGATGCCTTTCTCACGGGGTACAGGAGGCAAGGCAAGAGAGCGGGACAGCTCATGCGGCTGAAGCAGAAAGACACGGAGCGCGTGTGGCGGGACGCGTGGAAGCGGAAGTGTGGGATGGATGATCTGGACGGGAAGAAGGAGGTCAATGCTGGACCCATGTGGGTGCTTGTCAAGAGCGCTGTTGCCAAGATTGTCCGAGGGGAGGCTTGAGCAGTGGTGTCAAGTGAGGGGAGCAGGGAGTGAGGCGGAAGCAGAGGCGCCGGTTGCCATGTTGCGTCAGGCGGTAAGAGATCTGCGTTTCATCCGTTGGCAACCTTTGATCAGGGATCAGGCGTTTTGCTTTGAATTTTAGCGAGCATCTCCATTTCTGGAGCGCAACAACATGATGATTCCTATGATTCGGGGGTGGGAGAGGGAGGGTGGTGGGCTTGGCGGTAAACGCGTTAGGCGGGATACCGTACCGTACCAGTATCGTTAGAAGAGGGCTACGAGAGGAGCGACAATGCTAGACAGTGACGGCCGCAGAGGAGAGAGAAAATAGCGATGGAACAAACCAGACAATGCATGATTGCCACCTGTATCTACTTGTACCGCTCGTTTCACACAGGCAGCAAATGGCTTGATTGCAGGCAAAGTTGCTGCCCCGCAGACGTCAAGCTTCTTCGCCCGGGGGGGTTGTCAGCGGCTACGTTCCGATCCCTGTTTCCGAGTTCCGATCCCTGAGGCGCAGGCTGGACGGGATGGACCGTGCGTTAGCGTTCCTCTTGTGTTAGCCTCCGTCGCGACTTGATGCCACGGTGGACTTCTGGAAGATGCTCGTGGTCATCTAATCTCAGGACAAGTGTCGCTCCTTTTAATTTCTGTCCTTCGCTCTGATTTCTTGTGCATTGCTACTCCCCAAGGTCTCTTTGACGATTGCATTGAAAGAACAACCCCTTGGTTGTTTCCTGTTTGACCGGCCAGTTAGACGGCACTTCTCTCCTTGATAGACTTTGGCAAAGAAACACTTGCGCCAGCGCGAATATCATCATGGCACGCTCAAAGGCGGCCACGCCGAGTCACAGAGCCTCGTCGCAGACCCGGAAACAGGCGAATGCCATTTCTCACCAACTCGACGGTGCGGTGCATTCGCTGGAAAAGAAGATTGAAGAGCAGGCGGAGCTGCATGCGCGAAACCCCAAGGAACAGAAGGAGGCGGGGCTGTTGCAACTCTTGATTTGCGTGGGTGGCATCTATGCAAGTTTGTAAGTGGCATGGAAGCGTACACGGTAGACAAGCAGTGCAACTAACTAACGCTCCCCAAGTATGACCTGGGCCATGCTTCAAGAACGCCTAACAACCACCACCCACGGCCCCTCGAATGCCCGCTTCACCTACGCCATCTTCCTCAACACCGTTCAGTCGGCCTTCGCTGCCATTACCGGTTTCATCTACCTCGTCGTGTCCGCGCCGCGCGATCCAAAAACCCAAGCTCGACGTATCCCCGCCATCTTCCCCTCGAAAGCCATCCTCTTCCCCCTCCTCCTCATTGCCATAACCAGCAGTCTCGCCTCACCCTTTGGCTACGCCAGCCTCAAACACATTGACTACGTAACGTTCATCCTTGCCAAATCATGCAAACTGCTACCCGTCATGTTCCTCCACATCTCGCTCTTCCAAAAACGCTATCCCCTGTACAAATACCTCGTCATCGGCTGTGTGACCCTCGGCGTCGCCATCTTCACCCTGCACAACCCCTCGACCGCCCGCAAAGCCGCGAAGAAGGGTGTCGCCGCCGACGCCAGCAAGACGGTTGGCCTCTTCTTGCTCGCCGTCAATTTACTCTTCGACGGCCTGACCAACACGGTGCAGGACCAGATCTTTGGCACCTGGAAAGGCTTCACAGGCCCGCAGATGATGTGCGCACAAAACATTATGAGCACCGCACTTACCGTCTCCTACCTGCTCGTCTCCCCTTTTCTCGCTTCCACCGCCCTGGGACCCTGGTTCGGTCTGTCGCCTTCCGGCAACGGCGAGTTGGCAGATGCGCTCGCCTTCATCACTACCTACCCCTCTGTCGGCTGGGATGTCCTCGGTTTCGCGGCCTGTGGGGCGGTAGGGCAGGTGTTCATCTTCCACACCCTCGCCCATTTTAGCAGTTTGCTGCTCGTGACGGTGACGGTGACGCGCAAGATGCTGACGATGGTGTGGAGTGTGTGGTGGTTTGGCCACGAGATTACGGGCATGCAATGGGTTGGCGTCGGCTTGGTGTTTGGCGGCATTGGTGCCGAGGCTGGGTTTTCGCGCTGGGAGAAGAGTAAGAAGGCGAAGGCGAAGAAGGAGGAGGAGGGCAAGAAGGAGTGAGAAGAGGAGGAGGTGGAGGAAGACGAGGTTGGGGATGATTAGGGAAGCTGGCGCAGCTGTTGGAGGCGTTGGTCTTGTTGTACATGCCTAACATAGCCGGGGCTTTTTCCCTTCTTCTCGCCCGCGGATATCGAATTATGTACATATCCCAACACCCTTTCCCTCCCCCTTCCTCCTTCTACCAAGACGAGTACCTTGCATCCCACACACCCCTCGACCCCTCATCTCCATCCAGCTCTGGCACCTGGCGCCCCCACACCATCCATTCCATACATCATGCCGACCATACCGATCAAACCAAACCAAACCAAGAAAAAAACTGCTCCGAAAATTAAGTTTCACACATGGTTCCGAAAGGGAAGAAGGTTTTCTACAACGAAATAAACTTTGAAATAGTTTCTCGCGGAATACGAGTTTATGGCGGTAGAGTTTGAGAGTGAGGGGGTTGGGTGGTGAGTTGTGGGAGGGAGACGGAGACGGAGAGGGTTGTGATGTTTTGAAATTTAATTTTCTCCCTAAATAGGAATAGATAGTACGGTATCGCGTGATGAACGGGGTCGAAGAGGAGGAGTAAATCCACCTCATAACCACCGACCTCAGAGCAGACCTAACCGTCTTTCCAAGGCGACTCGCAAACTTGAGCGCAAGATTAAAAGGCCGGAAAATACAAATAAAATACATCCGTCCATGAGCTTGCTGAGACTGTTGTCTAGCATGCTGATCCGTTGTTTCTTTCCCATAGCTTGGGGGTATGACTCAGCTGTCTATGTCATGCATACTTTACAACATGTATGCTATATACCATCGTTAATATCAGTTAAATAAGACCAGTCCCTGGGAAATGCCACGCCAGACCAACGCATGCCCAACGAACTAAATCGTGCCTTTGGTCGGAGGGGAGCTGATCGTACTGTCCTGGGCCTACAGAATCCTTCCCTGAGGATGAGACAGCTTGTCTTGACATTTCAGATGAGAGCCATTGGATTGCTTGGACGAAAAGCTCGTGTTTCGAGGTATCTCGCGTTTGGCTGGGGACTATATTGCAGATATTCTCATTTCCTCGGTGGATCAGGGGTCCTGTTGGGTGCAGATAGGAGTGGGAAGGGGGATATGGAAGGCCTGAGTCAGATGAATGGAATCGCCGGCAAGCAGACCTCTGGACACTAGATACAGCTGTCAATTACTTCAACAGGACATCACATTTGCCGATCACACAACATGACAAAAAGAAGTCAAGAAGCAATTAGGTGTCAAAGCGCAGAGCATAGCTTGCGACTACAAGATATTTATAAACTGAAAGAAGAATATACAAGTAATAGACGAAAGCATCAAGCTTCGATCGTGTCAATGGCCTCCTCAGGCTTCATCACTGTGCAACTTAGCAAGACGCACCAGCAGGAACATTCTGGCACATGCTGCTCTTTTTGCCACCAGTCACATTGACATTTGACCAGGTCCAGTTGCTGCAGCTGCCCTTTCCGCAAAGAATGAGAATGTTGGTGGCCCCAGACGCCACAGTGCCATGGATGTCCTCGAGATGGATGCCAGTAACGGAGATGCCGGCCGTGGGCTTGTTAGTTGGGGAGCCATTCTGGTAGTCCTGACGGATGACGATGCCGTTCTTGGTAATGTTCTTGAGAGTGATGTTCTTGTACGTGACGTTGGAGACGGAGCCGGTGGCGCCAGCAACCGTCTTGATCCGCACCCCGTTTTCCGAGTTGATAATGGTGGAGTCGGTGATGAAGACGTTCTTGACGACGTTGTCGGAGCGGCCGCCCACGGAGCCAATGCTGATGCCGTGGCCACCGTCGCAGGTGCACTTGCTAAAGAAAATATCGGTTCCAGAGTTGACGGCGAGGCAGTCGTCCTGGTTCTTGACGTTGGCGTTGGTGATGTGAATGTCAGATGAGCTGCCAACATCGAAAGCATCGGTGTTGTGGCCCCCATTGGGCCCGTTCCCAGCAGAGTTGTCAATGGTGATCTGGTCAACAGTGAGGCCCTTGCATTGATTGATGGAGAAACCCTGGACGGGGGTGTTTCTGATGTTCAGTCCGGTAATGGTGGAGGACGTCATGGAGTGAGCGGCGAAGAACTTTGGCTTCTTCTTTCCTCCATTGCTGCCCTTGCCATCCCACCACTTTTGACCATCTCCATTGATGCAATGGCCGCTGGCTCCGTTGACCTTGATGTTGTCACCCGAGACAGAGATCAAAGGGCCTTCCCACTCCTTGTAACCAAAGGTAGTGGCTCCCTCGAAAGTAACAGTGGTACCACTCTTCAGTTTTGTCAAGTCGAGTGTGGTCCCAGCAGGCACATTCATGTCTTTGATGACAATGGAACTGCACGAACCCTTGCCCTTGGCGAGGGCGGCGGCATCGCTGAATGTGCAGTTACCGCGAGCATCCAGGCTCGTGGGCATAGCAGATACCAGCGCACCAGCGCTGAAGAGGAATGAGGCGATCTGAATGGCGACCATGGCGACTGTTTCTTGGAACGCGACGGTCGGAATAAACTCAAGTATAAAGCACGAAGGGAAGATATGAATGAATGAATGAATGAATGAGCGGTTGGATGATGTGTAGAGGAGTTCCCAACCTGGATACTTATAGAAGAAGACCTCTGTCCCTCAGGGACTTGAGCCCAATAGTATACGACAGCATTGACGGTGGTTCCGCGGTCGAGGCCACTGCAGTTCACTCCGAAGCTTGACCTTCTGTGCAAATCTTGGGTTCCCGTCAATCAGGGGCCAGCCTTGAGGGGACGTGGCTATGTGAACGGTACAGCCCTCGGCGGATCTTTCACTTAGACAGCGGCTCATATTACTCCGATTACCTAGACTAGACTGCCTGGATTGCCATGTCAGAAAGGCAACCCAGATGTCCTGGATTCCCATTGATATCGCTTGATTGGCGGTCATGAGCCATGTTTGCATATCTTTCAAACGCCACTTCCTTCGAAGCCTTCGAAGACTCTGCCCAGAGGCCAAGCTTTGTCTGGGAAAGTCTTGTGCTGTCTAATTTAGGGGGGATGTTCGTTGCCCCCATGCCATATCAAATTGTGGGAGCAATTGATGCAATGAAACGAAACAGTATTCCCGCTCTGGAACGAAGGGGTCAACACAAAGCCGATGCAGCTCGACCAATAAATCATTCAGAATAGCGGCGAGATATTGCCGATTGATGGAAAAGCACTGGAAGCGAGACTGTCCCGGGATACATGTCACGTAGAATTAAGGGTGGGGTGGTTCGCATGGGTCACTAGATTGCTGAAACAGTGTCGGGGCCAACGGCACGCTTCCTAGCTCAGATAGTCTCCGCCACTGGAAGAGTCAACCCTGTTTGGGCCCTTTTCCCGCAGCGCTCTCTTGCTTTTTGCCTACATCTGCATCATTGTGCTTTACACTTGCGTATCCAGCCCGCAAAAGTTCCGATTGTACAATAAAGTACTTTCGGTGCGTTTGGTTTCACGTTAAAAGACCTGAAGGCTCTTCAAACGCCCCACTCATCGGTTCTCTCGCACGGCACCAGAAGTCTGTGTTTCCCGCGACCATCGTATTTACATATTGTATAGTAGTAGGAGGGGGGGCAGCCTTATGATTCAAGGTCCAAATTCGACTTGCCGGTTTCAGCCGATTGTCGAACAAAAAAGCCTCCTTGTGGTAGACCCTCCATGAACATGCCCCATGCCACCCAATTTCGCAGCAAAAGATGAGCAGTTTGGATCATTTCTCCCCTGACCCTGTTCAAATGCCGTGAAAGCTTTTGCGCATCAAGCAACATGAAGGATCCTTCTGTGGGCCTGACAAGATAGCATACGAACCAATCAATGCACCAGAACAGGTACAAGCATCGTGTGCGATACATTAACAGATCTGCTTCTTCAACCCATGGCTCAGGACTGACGTGTATTTCTTTGAGCCCGTCCATAGCAGCACCCAATGCAGATGCTAATGCAGCCATCGAAGACATGTCCACATTGTGGTCCACGAAGCCTAATGCAACAAGTTCATGGCAGCGCATTTCCATATTTGTAGCTAGTGCACGTATTCTGCATGTCGTGAGTAGATCATTGCCATTGTAGGACGTCAGTACCAGCGAATTGGCGTAATTCGCCAGCTGTGATGAAACGAGCTCTGCTGGCAAGTCTCGGATGAGTTTACGTGCACTCTCTCTCTTCTGGTCCATTGCCCTTTGCGGGAATAGATCGTGACCGATGGGTCGACGGATATCACGCTGGGCTTTAAGGCTGACGCTATCCAGAAAACTGGTCGGTGAAGCATAACGTCCTGTAAGTGGTATGTCAGATGGCATACTTGATATCGATAGGGGAATCCGAAGGCCGTTATCTTTGTTATAGGCCTTGAAACGCGCTAACATCTCATGCTGAGATCGGTCACATGTCGGTGGTGCAATAGGTACCTGGAGACTTGCTAGTTTCTGGATTATTGTGGTCATGGCATCCGTGCTGTACAAGAGACGTTGAAAGTGGGCGGTGTAGTTAACTATAGGAAACTCGGTGATCAATGTCGTCAGAGTGAGCTTCTCGATATCTTGCTCATCGATCTCAGCCGATAATAGCTGCAATATATCGGCCGTCAGGGTGTTGAGGTGAAAATCGAGGCTGACACTGTTGCGCACTACATTTGGATCCTGACAATCGTAGTATAGAGTCGCGTCTCTGTGATCGTAGATGATATTAAGGGGCGAATCGAGGTCCTTTACATCCTTGGGTATTGAAAATCCCAGTGGAGAAGGTGTCGCGTCCCCCGACAAGAAGACATTGTGTTTGCCCGACGGTCGAATTACTCTCTGATCTTGTTCCTCCCATACAGCCGTCACTCGAATCTCATTCAACACTTCATCAGTGCCACCTTCCACGTGAAATTCGGGAACAGTGGCTACTGTACCGGGAAAACATCTCCAAAAGTGTTTGCGTGCACTGTGAGCTGCGTTTACGGGACCGCCAAAGTGATATGCGATAAGCGCGATCGATAGCGGATGCGTTATGCTTTCAAGTAGTTGTTGTGGGACGGTTCTCTGGGTACCCTTGGTCTCGTAATCTAACATACTCATAGGGTTGTCTTGTTCCCATGAGTCGTGAAGTTTCTCATACCGGTAGCGGTCCGAATCTGACTTCTCAACGTCAGAATCGCTTCCCGCTGTCTCTCTAGAGTCTTCAGTCCCCCTACAATTCTCATCATTGGCCAAAGGCGAATCTGCATAGTTTGGAATCTCAATGGCCCCTTTGATCTTGAGAGGGAAAGCTAATGCCTTTGAATTAGCTAGAGTGGTTGCTAGCATGATGAAATTTTGTACTAGCTGCGTTGCTTGGCCTTCCTCTCCTGGTTTTGAATAGTCCACGGCAGATTTTTGAAGTACTCCGAGCATAGCTATTCGGTAATTTTCTATTCTTGCTTCGGCTTGCTCATCTTTCGGTGAGACCTCTAGTGTATGACGCGAGCGAGCACACGTGATTCTACCGGTGACCATGCGGCCGTAGGCAGTAGGCGGTATGGAGATATTTGCGTAGAATGCATGTGGGCATTTCATGATGGAAGATGTTGAAGAAAGGCCAGGCTTTGCTTTCGGTGGCTTTTTGGAAGAGTACTGGTCTGATGATAACGAGAAAAGAAGATTGATATGTCTTAGTAGGCACAGTATAATGACATCGACTGTGCTGCTGTGGGCTTCACTTGAAGTGTTGAGAGTAAGACTGAATGAACAGTTCTCGCTTGTGAGTAGCGGATGTCGCAGTGTTTTCTCAATCGCGCTTTTTGACAAGCCTTACCACCTATGAGTTCAGCAAGCAGTTTGAGACCATCAAGCGCATCCTTAGTGACAAGGCAATGTCTCATCCTCTTATGCAGAGAGTGTTACTTACTATCTACCTTTAGTGTGAGTCAAGATAACCTCTCACCGTACTCATTCAATGCCCGTCGTGGGGAATCGCCGGTGTCTTTCAACTCACCTACCATGCCAAGATTGTACGCAGAAAAAAGAGGAATGTTTATGCTATGTGTAAGTGCAAGGCTTCGCCATAGTATGGACAGCGTGAGATTTCTTCTCTGCTGAAATACAAACCTCCATTAACGATGAGTGAAAATAGTGTAGCCAAGAAATGAAGTTGTTTCATGAGGTGTATACCGGTAACGCGCTTCATAGTTAGCCAACGTAAATGGCACATCATAACGCTTCGCTATCCATATTTTTAGATGCCAAAGCAATAGCTTGCATATTACAGGAGCTAGAGAATACATTTCGCCAGTGTTTTGATTGAGAGCTGCGTAAAATGTATGACCTAGTCTCGAAAGCTCCACTATCTCATAACACGCTTTGCGAACATACTACCTAATCGTGTGGGTATAGAGGAAAGATCAAGCTAAAGCTGAGCTAAGGGATAGATATGAATACTGACAGAGGTTGCGAACGGTATACTGTGAGTAGCCTAAATTATGACTTGGCCGATATGAATCATACTTGATGTGTCAAACACCTTGAATCTGCCTTGTGCACTCGTAGGAACGACCCTTGTTAGAAGCGAATATCAGAGTATTGTGCATTTTATGGTAGTTGTGGCCCCTACAAACGATGTATTGTCAACTATAGGTCGGTTTGGCCATCATATCAAATTCCTGTGTTCGCCGACTTTTTAGAGGTGAATGGCGAAGACATGGCCATAGCGAGAAATGCAGATGGTCCACGTTCTAGTAAGAATGGACTATCGTCATTATATGAGCATGATTAGTCGCGTTGAAGAAGCGTATTGGCAGCTCGTGTGACACTGACAATCAATATAGAGAAAAAGTTATGAGTCAAAATGGAGGTCCTCTCCTATACAGACTGTTGTCAGTGAGGATGTTGAACTAATGGCGTACCTTCTCGTCTAGAGACACGAGCTCTATAACAATATATGGAGGCGGCGAAAAGACACTATATGAAACTCCATTAAGCTGTGCAAGGTTGACAAGCATCGTAATGGCGCAGGGACACAACCAGGGTGGTTCTGGCAGGTCCTAGGAAGCCGCCGCTAGAGACCATGCTTGCAATGAGATAGTTCAGCCGGAGGGAATTAGAGGAGAATTAATGGAGCAGCCTTTTGTCAAAAATGGCCAACAACATTGTCATAAGATCAGTGTGAATGAGATGTAAAGTTCAACGGCATTCGCCTAGGATGACGGTTTGGGTAAGGTCTACGAGTACGTCATCCCCCATAGACCAAAAGCGCAGACGCGTCTCTCGTGAGACCCCACACCTAAGAAAAAAGCCCGAGTGGATATGTGCAACGTCACGACATGAGTGCTGTGATTCTCCGAAACAACCCCCGTTTAGCCAATTCTAGGACAGCAACGATTGTACGACTGCATAGGCAAAGAGCGTGTCTTGGGAACGTGCGATTCATGGCATCGATGGAACAACCTGCCCGACCCCCGCGGTTTGCGCCATTGGATCCTGCGAAGCAGAAGGCGGGGGATGACAGGCCACAACTGAAAGGCATTGTCTTTGACGTTGATGGAACATTATGTAAAACCAATGTTGTACTGCGGCCTTGTATGTCATACTGAATTGAGCCAGGCTTACCACAAAACCACATGTTCGCCGAAATGCGGTAAGGAGCTCGTCAGCGTGCACATAACACAAAGCTGATTCGGAGCAGTGCGGCGTTGAACATTGATAAACCAACAGACATTCTCGATCACATTTACTCCCTGCCCGAGGCCGAGCAGGTAGAGGCACAAGAAAAGATCCGCAACATTGAGCGTAAAGCAATGAAGTCGCAACAGCCTCAAGCAGGTCTAGTCGAGCTTATGGAATACCTCGACCGTCGTGGAATCAAAAAGGGCATCTGCACCCGCAATTTTGACGCACCCGTCACCCATTTACTGACAACCTTTCTCCCCTCTTCCAAATTCAATCCAATCGTTACGCGAGAGTTCAGACCACCCAAGCCTGATCCAGCAGGCATTCTGCACATTGCTAAGGAATGGATGCATGAGGACGGTGGTAACAGTCTTATCATGGTTGGTGATTCCATCGACGATATGACCGCTGGACATCGCGCCGGAGCAGCAACTGTCTTGCTTGTGAATGAAGTGAACGAGCATTTGTCAGAGCACCAGCACACAGATCTTGTGGTCAAGCGACTCGATGACCTGATTGGGATCCTTGAAGACGGATTTGTGGGACGATCAAAAGACGAATGAGTTTGCATACGGCGATAATACGGGGCTGTACAAGAGCTGGAGTGTGTACTCGGTCGGCAAGCTTCACTTTGGTCGGCTAAGAGCCCTAGCCCTGGTGGTACCTACATTTCTGCGTGCGACACTGAGTGCACGTGGTGCTGTTGTTGTCATGGAGCTGTTACTCAAGCAACCTGTGAAACATGGACGAGGGTAGCGAGCTTGCACCAACCAACAGTCCGGAATGGTGATGCACACGAACGACTCTCACCATGGCAATGCATCCGCTGTTGGGCAATTCGAGTTTCCGGCAACCGGCAGCCTGTGCAGTCCCCCAGATAGGTAGGTAGACCAGCCGTCCAATATGGCATCGTTGCGAACTACTACGCATTCATGTTTTGCAGGAAATCCTCCAAGGACTGGATAAAGTACATATACTTGTCGAGCGACAATCATCTTTCGGAAGTTCGACTGTCTCTAGAAGCGCAGCTCAAATCGACTTGAAGAGGTCGAGTGTGTCACGGTGTTTGTGTATGCGTATAGTGACCATTGTGCCCTCGTTCCCGTTGACGCTGGGAAGTGCATGGGCTTCTGGCAGCCAATATGTGTATAGTGGACCTGTATCGACTCTATCCCGTTGGCCAATCATGCGCGTTGCGCCTCGCTTCTGCCGTGTCTCACAACCGTGAGTATCGCAGTGTTTGGTGGGCCAAGGCGGATCAGTGTTGTTCTGTGGATCTGCGTAAACTGTGACGGTTGACCCTGGTAGGCATACCCTGCCCATAGGATTTGCACCTTCTTGATTCGAAAGCCTTGCTTAGCCTACCTGGGTTAAGAGACGTCTGTTGCCTTCCTATAAGTGTAACGCTGCGCTCTTGGCCCAATATCCTTCATTCCCCAAACTCCTTTCCTGTCCATCTCCGTCAAGAGGTTCGAGGCTTGTTCCATTGCTTGCTCGCTCGCTTGCTTGCTTGGGATACCACTTATTCCGACGTCCTCGCTGCAGCTTGCTCCCTACCTCCCTCGCTCCCTCGCTCGTCTCCCAATCCACCATTTTCAATCAGAAACATGAAGTACGCCCTCTTCACAGGCTTGCTAGCAATTGTTGGTGTCAATGGTCGGATCGCCTCAAGCACGTACCACATCGATGATCTCAGCGAGACCGTCGAGCATCTTCGTGAGGTGCCAGAGGGATGGACAGAAATTGGTGTCCCAGCTATCGACCGCAAGTTACATTTCCGCATTGCGGTCCGTTCGGTGGGTGTTGTTGTCTTCTTATGTTGGCAAGTTCCAATGCGTACATTCGTGGCGTAGAGGGGCCAATATCACAACCACATTAGCTGACCAATTCAGGAAAATCGCGCTTTGTTTGAGAGGACTCTCATGGAAGTTTCCACACCAAGTCACCCTCGCTATGGCAAGCATCTAAAGCGAAACGAGCTCAAAGATCTCATCAAGCCGCGAGCAGAATCTACCAGTGCAGTCCTCAATTGGCTCAAACAGTCTGGTGTAGATGATAGAGACATTCAGAATGATGGCGAGTGGATAAATTTCTACGCTCCTGTAAAGCGCGCTGAAGAGATGATGGGCACATCATTCAAGACTTACCAGAGCGAGATTCGTCCAACAATCAGGAAGATCCGATCATTAGGTTATTCGGTACCGAAAGGGATCCGTAGCCACATCGACATGATCCAACCTACAACTCGTTTTGGTCAGCTCCAGCCCGAACGTAGCCAGGTCCTCTATAAAGAAACTGCGCCAATTTCTATCGCGGCGATCAACGCAAGTTGCAACACCGCGATAACGCCCGCTTGTCTCGCCGATTTGTACAACTTTGCAGAGTACAAAGTGAGCCCGGAAGCCAATGTCACAATCGGCGTGAGCGGCTTTCTTGAGCAATACGCGCGCTATGCGGATCTTGAGCAATTCTCGAGGCTATACTCTCCTGCTACGGTTGGAAGCACTTTCGACTTCACATCCGTAAATGGTAAGCCCAGATCCTTAAAATTCACCTGAAGTCTACTAACCGTGTCAAAGGTGGTATCAACGACCAGAACGCCACCGACAGCAGTGTTGAAGCCAACTTGGATATACAGTACACTGCTGGTTTGGTTGCGCCCGATATCGCGACCAACTTCTACAGCACCCCAGGCCGTGGAGAGCTCGTACCTGATCTTGATCAACCAACCATCAACGATAATTCAAATGAGCCCTATCTTGAATTTTTCACCTACCTTGTTGGCCTAGAAGATGAACAGCTGCCCCAAGTGCTCACAACGTCATATGGTGAGGACGAACAAAGCGTTCCTGTGGCGTATGCGAAGAAAGTTTGCGATATGATCGGACAACTTGGCACTCGTGGAGTCTCAGTCATCTTCTCTAGCGGTGATACGGGGGTTGGCTCGGCTTGCCAGACAAATGACGGCAAAAACACAACTCGTTTCCTGCCTATATTCCCAGCTTCTTGCCCATTCGTCACTTCTGTCGGAGGAACCATCCGCGTTGAGCCCGAGAAGGCCGTGGACTTCTCCTCTGGCGGGTTTTCAGATATCTGGGGCCGTCCTTCATATCAAGACAATGCTGTTAAGGGCTATCTACATAAGCTCGGTGGTCAATGGAAAGGTCTATATAATCCTGAAGGCCGTGGGTTCCCAGATGTTGCAGCACAAGGGCAAGGCTTCCGCGTCATTGACAAAGGCAGATCAATCTCTGTTGGAGGAACCAGTGCTTCTGCGCCCGTCTTCGCTTCGGTCATTGCGCTTCTAAATAATGCGCGACTGGTGTCAGGCAAGCCTGCACTAGGATTCCTGAATCCTTGGATTTACGAATCAGCTTACAAGGGACTCAACGACATCGTCGAGGGTGGTTCGAGAGGATGTACTGGTCGTAGTATGTACTCGGGCCTGGAAACGCCGTATGTGCCATATGCCTCTTGGAACGCGACTGAAGGCTGGGACCCTGTTACCGGCCATGGCACTCCCGACTTCGAGAAGCTATTGCGCATTTCGCAGGGTTCAGGGCATGTTCAGCATTAAGCAGCGTCGACTGTGGTGGAAAGATCTTGGATCTACCCGTAGCATGATTGATCTTACGTTAGTCTGGCGGGAATTTGACCAGGGCGTTGGATGATGACTATGCATCAGCTGCAATCTCCATGGCAGCACATTAGTCCTTCGAATGCGAGTTAGCTTCATGATCAATGAAAGCTAATGGCTATGTTTCATTGCACGGTGGCACGTGATGTTGTCAAATGCTGCCCAGAGGATGTACTGTAGGTGGGTGTGAGTGGGGGCTTGCAAAGTTCATCGTCCTTTGATCCTATCGGTACCGGTATTCCCAGTCAGTAGGTACCGGTATAACTAGCCCGGCTCAGCTACCACGGAATTGTGCCCTCAGGACCTGCACTGTGCGACACAGGTTCTCGATACCATCGCACCTTTCTAGGTAACTAGTTCCCGGCCACCACCGCCCGAAGTACGGTGAACGACCGGCCTGGTCGGGAAGACCCTGATTTTCTCCGAGCTTCCTCTTTCGGCTAATCTATCTCCCCTAGCTGGTCCACATAGCTTGAGATATAAGCGGTGATCAATCGTATAGATCTTAGTCTTGCATCATCTATACGGTCTAATAGCACCATGAGGCCGATACCTCTTGGATTTTATGGCTGCTACATTTGTAAAGGAATCAATCACCATACATAAGCATGGCGTGACACGAATACAGGTAAGACGACAAATTCTGTACTTCTCCAGGGGTTTCAACAAATACGGGCATCATACAGAGGTGGACGCTGTATTGCAACGGCCAGTCGTTCGATATTGCTATATTGTATTACACAGGACGATAGTTCACTGACTTTGACCCCAGGAAGAGTTTGGTAATGGTGATTGTTCGGTACCGGTACGTAGTCAGGCCAAAGCTTCTCACGTGTACTATGTAGCTTCGGTCCATCACTGTAGGTAGTCGTCGCTCGAACTTGGTCTTACTAGAATTTGTGACACCGGCCCTGTCACTGCCGTGCCTAGTATCTCTCTATAATATACGGATATTGAGCAAATGCATTAGCAGGTACATAAACGTCTAGTCCCGCGGGACTTGTAAAGCCAACTCTGTCCACAACGACACCAACGACCATCCACATGTCGACAAACAGACCCACCTTCGCGGCATGAACTATATTGAATCTGATACTAGGGTCACTTCCCTACTTGTCCGAAAAAGCTTACTTCCGTCTGCAACTGGACATTTTGGGTCTGTGCAGAACATGACCAATATAATAGGTCCGATATGACGTTGGTCCAATCCGCTCATCATACCATGGGCGCATGCTATGACTTTCTATACTTGAAGGTCTGCTGCCCGCTCAGATCTCTCCCGTACGCTCTCCATCAGTCAAGAAACGAATCAAGACACTCCAGCATACGACTGGTTTGCACAGCATAAGTATGCAGTTGCTATCATTCTTGGCCATTACTGGCATTACTTCCAGCGTTACTGCCCAAAGCGTGCGATCTATTGGCAAGAGGACTGAAGCCCCTAGGGTTCAGGTTGAGACACGCCAATCTAAGTCCATCATTACGACTGAGGCCTCTAAGAGTATGTGGCCACTATTGAATCTCAAATCTCAATCTTACTTTACGCAGAATTCATCGTCAATGGCGCCGCTGGCTCTATTCCCGACGTCGATTTCGATATTGGCGAGTCCTACGCTGGTCTCTTGCCCATCAGCGACAAGGCCAATGAGACTTCGGAGCTGTATTTTTGGTTCTTCCCTTCTGAGAACCCAGCTGCTAGCGAAGAGATCGTGATTTGGTTGAATGGCGGTCCTGGTTGTTCGTCCCTCGAAGGGTTTCTCCAGGAGAATGGCCCAATAAGTTGGCAGTACGGTACCGGTCCTAAGCCTGTCAGGAACGCGTGGAGTTGGACGAACCTTACAAACATGGTCTGGATCGACCAGCCTGTTGGTACTGGTTTTTCGAAAGGCATATCCACTGCTACAACACAGGAAGAGATCGCCGAGGACTTTGCCGGCTTCTTCAAGAACTTTGTCAACACGTTTGGCCTAAACAACCGCAAGATCTACATGACGGGTGAATCCTATGCCGGACGCTATATTCCATACATCGCAGATGCCATGCTGAAAAAGAACAACACTGAGCACTTTAATGTCAAGGGTGTCATGCTCTATTCCCCTAACATTGCCGAGGAGGGTGTTCAAGTAGTAGCTCCCGTCGTCCCTTACCTTGACAAGTGGTCCGGTCTTTTCAACCTCAACGAGACCTTTACCAAACACATCCACGAGCTTGCTGATACCTGTGGCTACACGGAATACATGAAAAAGTACCTTACTTTCCCTCCTCCCAGCAAAATTCCCCAAGCACCCAACGACAGGGGTAGCGAGGGCTGTGATGTGTGGGGATATGTTCAAGATGCAGTCATCCTCGTTAACCCTTGCTTCGATCGATACCACATCGCTACCACTTGCCCTTTGTTGTGGGACGTCCTTGGCTACCCTGGTAATTTCGATTACCTGGTCGCCGGCACCGAGATCTTCTTCAACCGCAGTGCTGTCCAAGCTGCTATCAACGCTCCCATCCAGCCATGGAGTGAATGTGCCGATGGCGTCCTTGGTACTGATAATTCACCTCAATCCAGTGACGAAGTCCTTCCACGCATCATCGATGCTCTCGACCGTACCGTCATCTGCCACGGAGAACTCGACTATAGATTTCTCTTCAATGGCACTCTTTTGGCCATCCAAAACATGACCTGGGGCGGCAAGCAGGGTTTCCAGTCCCCACCTACCAAGAACTTGTTCATTCCATACCACGAAGATATCAGCCAGACCAGTTTGAGTGCCAAAGGCGTTATGGGCAAGTGGCACACCGAGCGCAAGTTGACGTATATTCACCAGTCACTCGCTGGACACATGGTTCCTCAGTACCAGCAAAGCAGCGGATTTAGGCATTTGGAGTTTCTACTTGGACGTATTAAGGATTTGAGCAGTGATGTTCCTTTCACAACGTTGAGTCAGGCTCACTCATCGAAGGGTAATAGCAATGGTAAGAGGGACTTGGCTGCTATGAAGCTTGCCCGTGATTATATAAAGTGGTTTTAAAGTTCCGCCAACTTTTTGAAAGAGCAGAGGAGAGATCTAAGTTATATCGTTAATTAGGCACTTTGAATATCCACTGCTGTTGCTACATTTAGTGTTCTGCTTCGAAAGGGAGACTAAATGTTTCATTTCTAGAACATGCAAGCGATTTTTAATGTAGAGAGATTATTGAATTAGAGATTATAATCTGTTTTAACAATACAACTCGGGATGCGAGGCAAGTCTATATGCAATGCATGTAGCGGTGAAATAAAATGCTTTCTGCTTACACCACCAATTCTAGTATACTCGACAGGTTCAAATCTTTAAGCACTTGGGTTACCATTAAAAGCGAGAAGGTTGATGGTACCACCTGGCACGCTACTGATCTTGTCCTTGTTACCAAGGCTAGTGATGCGGGAAGCTAGAGCAGCTGGCGCCTTCTTTCCCTCGAGGGCGAGAAGATAGGCAGCAAGGCCAGCGACGTGGGGAGTTGCCATTGAAGTACCTGAAAGGACGGCCTGGATTACATTAGCTTGGTGATTCATCATTGAAGCGGTAACGGATAAAGACTCACTGTGCCACCACTGGGCCATGTGGAGAGGACAGCCACACCAGGAGCGAGGATATCTACTGAGGCGCCAAAGTTTGAAAAACTGGCCCACTTGTCGCTTGAGTCTGTTGCGCCGACGGTGAAGACAGAAGGTTCAGAAGCAGGGGAAGCACCGCTAGCATCTACTGCAGAGTTGCCAGCAGCGACAGTGAGGAAAAGACCAGATGAGACAGCGCTTGCTGCAGCGGAATTCAGGGATACAGACTTGCCGCCACCAAGAGACAAGTTGGCAACAGTTCCACGGCAGTTTCTCTTTTTAGCGTCGTTTGCAGCATAGTTGATACCTGCCAATACGCCAGAGAGGGCTCCCTGAAATGATGTTAGTAGTCGTACTTGGAATGGCACAGGAGTTCACGAAAATGAGCACATACAGATCCATCAGCCTTGAGAACCTTGATAGCAAAGAGCTTGGCCTTCTTAGAAACGCCGTAGGTCTTAGAGCCAATAGTTCCGGCGACGTGAGTACCGTGGCCGTTGCCGTCAGCGTTGTTGCCATCACCAGCAAAGTTGGCGAGGAAAGTGGCACGGCCCTCAAACTCGGGGTGCTTGGTGTCAATGCCAGTGTCGATAACATAGGCACAGGTTGCGGCGCCGGCGGTGCTGTCGTATGTGTACTTTGCAGCATTGGGAGTCTTGGAGGAGAGTCTGCCTAGACCCCAGATGGAGGAGCCGGAGTTTTGCGATGTGAAGGCCCTCTTTGAAATGATTTGTTCGATTTGACCGAGATCAGCTTTAATGACTACATCTGGCTCAACTAGTGCGACCTTTGATTATGTTAATAATTGAACTTTGTTATGATTCGACCGAGTTTCAACGTACATCGGGAAGCTTGCGAATCTCCTGGGCTGTAGACTCGTTCATTGAAGCGGCGAAACCGTTGAAGTTGCCGATGTTGTATGTGAATTTCGCATCTGACTTGATCTTGGCCAGGAGGTTGGTGAAGATCTGAGGGATACTCTGCCCTTTGATGGAGTTGGGCTTGAGCGTGACAATGTATTTCCCTGGAATGGGTGTGCCATCACGAGGCTCGAGAAATGGTGCCGGAACAGCGCTCACTAGAGGCAGAAGTGCAAGAAGGACTTGGAACTTCATGTTGATGGTAAGGATTGGGAGGAAGGGTTGATGAAGGTACAATTATGATATGAAGGTGACTCAAGATTTTGAGATGGGTGTTGATGCAATGATAATCCGAAGATCAATACAAGGTCTCGGAAGTGTTTGTAAAGTTGGTTTGGAGTCGCAGTAGAAAGACAGTGAAGTACTGGTTGATGCATTTTCGAATGTGCATCCTCTCGAGCATTATATACACATAAGTCTGTACATTTGTCAAGAGCTACGCTCGAGAAACTGCGTTCGAGAACTACTTCTAAAAAATTGTAAACGCCGACCTGATGTCTAGTGACTCCATCTACAGTTTCTACAATGTCGATAGAGAGCATGACATAGGAGCTGGAGGTGAGAGATACGCTTTGACAGATTAGGCCAATGACTAGTCTTGAAAAGGCAATTTCCCCAAAAGATGCTGTGCAATGCATCAGGGCATCGGCGAACAAACTTTTCCTAGGAGTAGAAAAGCGCACTCAGTACTTCAACGGCCAGTGACGGCTTCGGTATAGCTCTGCCGCAGGAAATGCCGAAAGACGATGACAACGCCTGTTGGCCGATGAGCAGTTGGACAGCCTTGCATGATCGTAGAGACGACCCCTGGCCGCAATAGGTTACCAACCGACGAGAAATAACCTAGTGACGATAAAATCTACGCGCCAGCAATTTGGCGGCCGTTGTTGGGCGAATCCTGATCTGGGCCCAGACTTGATGAGCGGAATGACATAGCCATCTTCTTTGTTCTTAAGCCCCTGTCACCCCATGGCAACCACGCGATCTGCCTGGCAATCGCCACAGCGCAGAGTGACAATCTCGTAGAACTTCAGTCTCGAACAGGTTAGAAAAAGATTAGACATCTCGGGAGATTTATCCTGGCCATATACACATCTAGGGCTACACGCATACCAAATATTGTGCGGAGAACATGGTGGCGTTCTTGGAGGAAGACCCCCATGGGGTTGGGGTTCCAGCCAAAATTGATACTCATGCGCTCGGGTAGTTTGAGTATCATGTGATTTGCCACTGCTACATCCTGGCTATTTTCATAGCACAAGACAAGTAACGTGATCCTCAAACTAGCCGAGATAGCTAGTAGTCTGAATCCTGTACAAGCCACGAACCACTGTGGGCACTTAGCTGCGGTGTCAGTGGAGAACCCCACAAAACGGATATGGCAACATACTGCGTGATGACAATGATGATGAAGAAGTCAAAGAAGTTGTCCGTATCTTCATTAGAAACGCAAGAGCAGTAACGCTACCGGTGTAAACTCCTATACCGTAGAAGTAGTCCTGTCGACGAGGAATTGAATCTGATGATGCCTAGGCATACGTCATTGAGGGAAGTCCGTGGTGTGACACACCGGTGCCATCCGTCCGGACAAGAGCCTATCTAGGTATAGTATCTTACTATTTCCGCGGAAGACCTATCTTCAACTCGTAATACCCACATAGTATTCCAATTAACAGACGGCTCTGGCAACCTACCCAGTATCATGATGTTCGAGTTAGGGACTCGCTCCATGCCAATGTGAACTATAGAATTTAGAGAGGCCAATTTCCTCCATGTGACATTGTAGACGATGGTTCACACCAAGCTATAGCACAGTGGTCCTCATCGACTACAAGCTTGAAACCACTGTCTATATCGTATAGCACTACTACTCTCATATTACCCCTCTTGTTCTACATCTGATTATGTGTTCCCCGCAATATGCCGGAGCCTAAAATCAGAGCCCAAGGCTCTAGACTTGAAGGGCTGGTGGGTGAAGATTTCTATGTCCTTGGCCCCTAATGCCGCGGTGTGTTGACCCGGCAATGTGCGAGGATGCTTTGTACCTAACGATACGTGTGTAGGTTGTATCAGTTACCTTAGCTATATGCCGGTGTTCCTCTCTTAGTCGAGACACCGAGCCCGAGATGGGATTTCCAAATCCGATCCCGCACAAATTTCCCTAAAAAAACACGTGTGCTTAGCGCCTTAGCTGCCTAGAAGAGGCCGAGGTTGACCATCCACATGGAAATGAATTAGTCTTTGAGGCGATGTAGAATCTAGACTTGTGAATGCTTCGGTATGTCCGCAATAGTGTGCATTGCCACAAGGTAAACCCCACATTCTTCCAAATCTACTCAGTCTGGTTATAGAGAGGCATCTCCTGAAGTGATTGTAGTGCGAATGCACCAGGAGCGAAATTGGGATGGTTCAATGTTAGAGTCCGCGTTGGGCTTAGCGGCGCATTTTCTTCTTCTATCTGCAGTCCTCAGCTTGCCACCACGTCTTTGCATTCTTCCTTGTAGGCAGAAGAATGTTCCTCAACACATTACGCAAGGGATAGATATTAAAGAAAGCTGAGTCGTTAAGCAGATAGGACTATGTGCATACTAAGCGTACAGCTCATACCAATCATAGCTTGCACACCCGTTGAAACTTCTTACCTCGAACCGCCAACTTCCTAAGGTTCCTTCTACGCAGTAAATACCATCATTTAAATTGGAACCTGATTTTCAAAGACACGTCCTATTATATCGTGGTCGCAGTCGAGCCTTGGTCTATATGCACTACGGTAAAAAATTGTTTACTGTAGAATAGTACGCTAGGGGTTTACTATATAGGTGTAAACTGCCCTTGTGTATACCTATAAATAGGTTTAAAGTAGTAGTTTACTTTTATTAAAGTAGTAGTTTACTTTTGTTAAAGTAGTAGTTTACTTTTATAGTAGGGGTTTAAATTAAGTATAAAAAGTAGTTTTATTTCTATTATACGCTATAATACCTAACTAAGACTAAAAGGGGTAGAGAAGATTAGCTTCACGCTATACACATATATGACATAATAATGAGTCATGATATTTTTACTAATAGGAGGTGGTAATAATAGAGGTGGTGGTAGAGGTGGTAGAGGTGGTGGAGGTGGTGAAGAAGATTAAAGAAAGGAGGGGTAAAATACTTAGATAGTTAGTAGGAAACTAGTTATTACTACGTAATACTAGTAGATTAATAGAAGTAGAAATAAAAGTAGTTTACTTTTATAGAATATATAGTATAATAAACCCTATTTAGGTTTACTTCTTCTACCTAAACCACTTCTTAGTCTACTTTAGATAAATATGGCTACTGTAAACCAGTTTTGTACCGTAGTGATGGTAAATATAGCTGCGTTCTTGACAAGATTTGAGGTATAGTACTTCTTTATCTACAGGGCTGCTGCGTCCTTTATTTCAATTTGCCAATGATTTCTTCATCATTGCCAGTTGTAGTCCAGGCAGACAGACCCAGAGTTAGATGAGTGACAAGTATCAAACAAAGGAAGATCTGCAAATTGGCGTTCGAATACATCATCACCGCCTGGTACAATGCGGTGTGATCACTTACTGTACAAAAGACATGCCTCCACGGCGGATCACGGTCGGTACCGGTATACCCATCGAGTCCCACTCCAAAATCTCTTCATACAATTACCAGTAGCCGGGTAGAATCTCACATTTGCCAGCGGGACTACTGGGACTCTTAGTGGCCTTGTGCTGAGGCTTGAGCCATTATTGATCCATTGAGCGTGTTGGTGTTTCGGTGCAGTACTGAGCAGCCGTGTAGTGGCCTTGTCGTAACATTTGACTTTCGGCATCTGTTTAAATTTTAATGTCATTAGGCCACCTAGTACGGTAGGTATTGGCATGTCGCCCGCGAATCTAAAATCAGGACCAAACCCCATAAAATTACCTTCCGTGTCTATTAGTATTCGCCAACGGATTTTTCTCGGACCGCTTGCGTTTAGTAAAGTGTGCTTCTGTCCAATCAACGTATCAAGACACTAAAATACTTATTCCACGAGAGAAGTGTGATTATCTCCGTAGCGAAATTGGAGATGCTGAGTGGGTTATTGTGATGGAGGTGTAAGTACTTACCTGCCCAATTTCCTATCTGCTACGACTGTATACGAACTATCTTGTGTAGTGAGTAGCTCATGTCAAATGCGTAAGAGCTTTGTTCGCAACATGCAACACAAAGTGGATCTACTAAACACTGCCAGTGCGATCCACAAATGAGTCTCAGAATGGCAGACCTTCTCACCAGTTGTTGGAAAGTGTCTAGACTATGTGATGGATGTCAGCGGTAGAAACACCGGAAGGTCGATCTGCGTGAGGTGATTGAGCTATCATGTGACTAGACATTTACCCATTTAAAAGCTAGCCCCAAAAGCTATCAGAGTAGACAGACGGACAAATCAATTCAGCTTGTCTCACTCCAAACTCCGCGAGGAATTTTCGAGGCATCCATACCTGAGGACGTAACAACGTTAGTCATTTCTTCTGCAATGACATGGTAAATGCCCTGGTATACGCAGGAATGGAGAAGAATCGCTACTGGCCTTACCGGTAGCAACAATCAAAAGGGTGTTTACACCCGCTGGTTGACCAAACATCTGCCCAGAGCACCTGCTCCTGCCATTGCGACATAAAAATCTCTGCTCAATCTTTACCGTTAAAAGCTATCATCTTGGCCCATCGATTTGAATCTTATCCCAGCATTGAGTCCTTTGTCCGTTTCTTAACAATATACTCTTGATTTTCTTGCGCCGATAGGCTATGTTAGCTACTGTATCTTGCCATTTAAATGCAGTGCTTTATAAATACCTCATTTTGTGCACGGCTACTAAGCCATCTTCCCTGCCAGATTCCCCCGGTCGTTGAAGTTTTCCTAGAAAAATAGAAGGTTTTTGGTCGGTCAACTTTCTTATCTCAGTCCTGAAACATAAGTGGATTTTGGCACTAGAGGACCAAGCCTCCAGCGTCGGCGAAAAAAATGGGATATTTGCGATCTCTACTCTCAATACCCCAGCTAACAAGTACACGTCGCCTACTGTAACGTGATCCACCACCGAGCGCCCACCCCCACCGAGCGCCCACCAACACCAAAATCCACCACCCACTAAATGAGGATATTGCGCCACCCACAATAGCTATTATTACAAGATTTCTTAGAGTCGCGATTATTAGATCTATTAGAGTAGATTAAATATTTTAGATTATATAAGTAGCTTTTTAGGGGGTCTAATTAGGCGCCTACGCTGTAAAGTTGCCTCTACTACTATATCCTCTTCTACTAGCTCCTTATTAACTACCTTAGCTAGTATAATAGTAGGAGGCTTAAGGATTTACCTCTTACCTATTTAGGATATTTTAATATTATTTTAGAGTTACTTTTCTAGTTACTTAGTAGTTTTCTGCTTATTACGTGTAGTAGCTTTTTAAGTAGCTTTCTCCTCTTACTCCTTTTTAGTAATTACTTAATTTAGGTAATACTCCTCTATAAGTTAAGCTTTAGTAAGCTTCTATTACTTATAAAGCTTAATTACCTTACTTTTACTTAGTATTATAGCTCCTATTCCATTTAAGGTTCTTTTACTCCTAGAGCTTAAATACTTACTCTACCTTTAATAGTAAAATAAATTAGGTACTACTACTATAATTATTATTAGGGGGTAATAATAGAGGTTTACTACGCTTCTTACACTTCTTCTTATTAGCTAGGGTAGCCCTTAGGTGTTTATTTTTATAGTTAAGTAGAGTATTTCTTACTAATATAGTATAGATTATCTAGCTAAGCTTCTTTAACTATTTATTATAGATATTAATTATAGTATTATAGAGTAACTACTCTATCTTTCTCTAATTACTTATACTTAATATTAAGGTTATACTATTACTTAAAGAAGGCTAGTTACTATTATTTATAGGTGCTTTAAACCTTAAAAGGATAATATTAAGGTTAAGTAGTAAGATACCTATTACTTTAAAAGCTATTAATATTAGCTTTTTCTTAAAGGTATTACTCTATATAGTATTAAATAACTAGTAGAAATCCCTTTTAGTAATGCTTATAAGCCCTTAGGAGCTATCTAGAAAACTAGATAGTTAAGCTTTATATAAAGCTATAAAGGGAGCAAATACTATAATATTAAGTAGCTAAAGGGTATAAGTGCTATAAGGGGGATATATTATAAGTAAGATCTTATATTTATTATAGTACTTAATAAACTCTATTATTATATAAGATCTATAGCTATTAAGGATAAGGAGCTAGTATAAAGTATAAGCTTTAGCTTTTGTCTTATAATTAAATACCTCTTTAAGCTAGGATACCCTTAGGGTATAGCTTATCTACCTACTTAGTAATCTTATAAAGAAAGCTTAGTATTATAATAGGTTAAAATCTTATAACTAGGTATCCTATAAAGCTCTAGATTAGGACTAATAAATAAGGGTAAGGGTAAAAGCAGTACTATTAGCGTATATACAAGCTATAGTAGTAATCTACTCCCTATTACTATCCTAAAGTATAGCTTTAATCTTTCTCTACTTATAGGCGCTCTTATTAAATATATATTTAGTTTTTAATAGTACTCTAATAAGAAAACCCTCCTTATCTATATTATAGATATACTAACTCTTAATATTATATTACTCTATTTTTTAGTATAAAAGCTTAAAGTATAAGCTATACTTAAAGGTAGAATTAGCTTTAAAGTAGTTATAATTAAGCCTAGTAGCCTAATAGGAGATAAGATTAATATTATAGTAGTTAATAAAGCGCTACACCTAATTTTTACCTACTAGATTCTCTATTATTTTAGTTATAAAATTTTAAATAATAGTCTATATAAGGGGTAATCCTTACTTATAAAGCTCTTTAATATACTCTATAAGCTTACTTTCTTATATAGTATTAAGTATTTAACTATTTAGTAGAGTAGTAGTATATACCTACTAAATTTTCTAGTAGTATCTAGATAAGGTTAACTATAAGTAACTATACTTTTCTACTATTTCTAAGTATATAAAATCTTCTCTAAGAGTTAAGGATTTAATTACTACAAGCACGTTATTAATAGGTGCTATAGTTATTAAGAAATTTAGTGTTGAAAATTTAGTGATTTTGGTGTTGGTGGGCGCTTGGTGGGGGTGGGCGCTCGGTGGTGGATCACGTTAATTTAAGGCTAAAACAATATCAAGATGGAATGTTTCCTATGCTTCGAAAACACTTGTATAATAATTTATACATAACATAGCCTGTATTTGTATATTAAAATGTTTGGTGTTTCGCTACAACACCCCAGCAAATATCACATTGTTTCGCCGACGCTAGAGCACATGCACTTTCACTGATACAAGGGCGAGGTCTTGGCCAAGTTCCAAGGCATATTAGAGCCGAGTTTTTGGCTATTGTTAGATTGGCTAATGCAAACCAGGAATGAAGGTTTTTCTTCTCTTCACTAATCATGGTTATTTACCTACAAGACCGATGCACAGACACAGCAAATCTGCTAGCTACAGTCCCTGTCTTCTCACCATTCGGCGGACTTTCCGAATACGGGGAAAGCCACGCCATAATAGGTTTAGACCCGTGTGTACACAAATTGCTTCCAGAGGCAGTGTCGCAGCACTATGGCTTGGACTTGCGGCAGTCTTTGGAACCGACAGACATAAAGATGCTCTCCTCCTCCCTAGGCTGGAGAAGTATCCACATCCTTCGCAATTCTTCTACACGTTTAGCCTGGGACTCTAAGCATCTATAATCATGAATGCCATTATTATCACTGCTTTATTCGTTCCATTTCTATTAGGGAAATCTCAAGTAACAGCACTGAGTCCATATACACTAGGAAACGCGCGGTGCACCGACCATGGAGTTGGACTTCCAAGCATTGGAAATGGCGTGGAAGTATCATGTCAAGTATGTATTGGTATCTAACAGCACTTATCAAGCACTAATACAAATAGGACTCCAACTCCGACGTATTCTGCGTACGTTCATCTAGTACCCTGTGCTAGAATGAAAGTCTAACTTCTAGTGTAGTGTGCTGCATCCCAGGATACTACAACGCTACCTGTCCCGCGAGGACCCTGTGATGTACCCATATCTTACGCTAAGGGCAGTACAGAATACAATTATGAGCTCTCCAGTTGCGGTAACGCTGGGGAAGGTGCTGTAAGTTCTTACTTGCCTAATCTTCTACGTTTTTCATTCCTGTACTAACTATCTGTAGCTTGTCTATTGCGTAAGAATCTTCACAGGATACGTGACCAAGGCGTATGGCCCCTGGTGGGCAGC